GCGAGGGCCTCCCAGGAGGCCCCGAGAAGCGAAAACGAGGGAAGGGCAGCGGGATCGGCACCTCGTCCAGCATCGTTTCGCCGATCCCTATCCTCGCTGGAGTGGCCTGGGCCCCACTGGTCGATCTACCACCCTCACATGGGGATATAGGCTGTTCCCTTCGGGCTTCGAGGGGCCCATCCCCAATTGGGGTGGCGGGATGGTGGGGCTGAAATACTGAGGATCTCAAAAAAAAAACGCCCATCTCGAATATACATTTAAACAGGGGCAAGCCCCAGACCCTTATTTCAAAGTTCGCTGCGGTCGACCCTGGTGAACGTAAGTCGTTCGAGGAAAAAACACCCCTTTTTACAAACTGCGGCCTGCGCGCGAATCTGAACTTTGAATTTCGGGGAGCGGGGGGGCGGGGGGGGAGGGCATCGCTCTCCCTACTGATAGTATTGGATGTGCGCGCTTTCTCCGAGACCCGCGCTGCCATCATGGCCCGCCGGGGGTGGGATGCCAAGGCGTCGGGCTGCGCAGAGAGAGCGCCCCCAGGGTAGTCCTGGCCGGCCCCACGAGGCCCCCCCCTGGCAGCCCCACCTGGCCTCAACAGGCCCGCCGAATGGCCCAGGGCGGTCTGAACACGGAACGCCCAATCCTCCTCCTCCTCCTCCTCCTCCTCCTCCTCCTCCTCCTCCTCCTCCTCCTCCTCCTCCTCCTCCTCCTCCTCCTCCTCCTCCTCCTCCTCCTCCTCCCTCCTCCCCCTGCTCCTCCCCCTGCTCCTCTCCTCCTCCTCCTCCTCCTCCTCCTCCTCCTCTCCTCCTCCTCCTCCTCCTCGGCGCCAGGGTGTCGAGACCGCCCGGGGCTACTCGCGGGGGCCTGCTGTGGCCAGCCGGGACTGCTCAGAGGGGGCCCTCGTTGGGGCCACCTGGGGCTCCTTGGCACGGCCTCCTCCTCCTCCTCCTCCTCCTCCTCCTCCTCCTCCCCCTCCTCCTCCTCCCCTTCCTCCCCCTCCTCCCCCTCCTCCCCAGGGTGGGGACCGGGTAAACGATGCTGGCGTCCTCCTCTGACACGGAAGGGTTGGCTCTGGGCGAGGGCGGCGGGGGCGGGAACGGCGGCCCTCGGAAACGGCAGGGCCAGGCGCCGACGAGAAGGCAGGGGAGGGAAGGAGGAGAAGGAGGAGGAAGAGGAGGAGGGGGAGGAGGAGGAGGAGGAGGAGGAGGAGGAGGAGGAGAAGGAGGAGGAAGAGGAGGAGAAGGGAGCGGGAGGAGGGTGCGGGGCGAGGGAGCGGGAGGAAGGAGAGGGAGGGAGAACGGGACGGAAGGAGGCAGAAGGACACGGAGGAGAAAGATGAGAAGGATGAGGAAGAGCGAGGAGGAGCGAGGAGAAGCGAGACGGAGGAGGTAAAGTAAGGTAGGGTCGGGACGGCTCGGGTAGGGTAGGGTAGGGTAGGGTAAGGTAGGGTAGGGTCGGGTATAGAAGGGTAGGGTAGGGTAGGGTAGGGTAGGGTAGGGTAGGGTATGGCAAAGTAAGGTAAGGTAAGGTAAGGTAAGGTCAGGTCAGGTCAGGTCAGGTCAGGTCAGGTCAGGTCAGGTCAGGTCAGGTCAGGTCAGGTAAGGTAAGGTAAGGTAAGGTAAGGTAAGGTATGGTATGGTAAGGTAAGGTACGGTACGGTAAGGTAAGGTAAGGTAAGGTATGGTAAGGTATGGTATGGTATGGTAAGGTTAGGTATAGTATGGTAAGGTAAGGTAAGGCAAGGTAAGGTAAGGTAAGGTAAGGTAAGGTAAGGCAAGGTAAGGTATGGTAAGGGAAGGTAAGGGAAGGTAAGGTAAGGTGAGGTGAGGTAAGGTAAGGTAAGGCAAGGTAAGGTAAGGCAGGGTAAGGTAAGGTAAGGTAAGATACGGTAAGGTAAGGTAAGGCAAGGTGAGGTGAGGCAAAGGCGAGGCAGGGCAGGGCAGGGCAGGGCAGGGCAGGGAAGGGAAGGGAAGGTAAGGTAAGGTGAGGTGAGGCGAGGTACGGTAAGGTAAGGTAAGGTAAGGTAAGGTAAGGTAAGGTAAGGTAAGGTAAGGTAAGGTAAGGTAAGGTAAGGTAAGGTAAGGTAAGGTAAAGTAAGGCAAGGTAAGGTAAGGTGGTGTAAGGTAAGGTAAGGTAAGGCAAGGCAAGGCAAGGCAAGGTAAGGTAAGGTAAGGTAAGGTAAGGTAAGGCAAGGTAAGGTATGGTAAGGTACGGTACGGTACGGTACGGCACGATACGGTAACGGTACGGTACGGTACGGTACGGTATGGTATGGTAAGGTACGGTAAGGTACGGCAAGGGAAGGTAAGGTAAGGTGAGGTGAGGCGAGGTACGGTAAGGTACGGTAAGGTAAGGTAAGGTAAGGTAAGGTACGGTAAGGTAAGGTAAGGTAAGGTAAGGTCAGGTAAGGTAAGGTAAGGTAAGGTGGGGTATGGTATGGTAAGGTAAGGTATGGTAAGGTATGGTAAGGTATGGTAAGATAAGGTAAGGTAAAGTAAGGTAAGGTAAGGTAAAGTAAAGTAAGGGAAGGTAGGTAAAGTCAGGGAAGGGAAAGGAAGGGAAGGTAAGATAAGGTGAGGTACGGTAAGGTAAGATACTATAAAATCAGGTAAGGCGAGGTCAGAAAAAAAAGGTACAAAAAGGTAAGGTAAGGTGAGGTGAGGCGAGGTACGGTAAGGTGATGTAAGGTAAGGCTCAGTACGGTATGGTAGGGTACGGTGAGGTAAGAGAATGGAAAGGAAGGGACGGAGAAAGAAGGCAACGTATTGCAATGTAGGGCTAGGTAAGGTAAGGCGAGATAAGGCATGGTAAAATAAGGTAAAGGAAGGCAGGTTGGGTAAAGTAAGGGTAGGTGCGATAAGGCACAGTAGTGTAAGTTCAGGCAAGGTAAGGTAAGGCAAGGTACGATAAGGCAAGGTGTAATAAGGAGAAGTAAAGCCAGTAAGGTAAGATATGGTAACATAGTGCAGGGTACGGTAACGTAAACTCAAATGCGGACAAGTAAGGTAAGGCAAGGTAAGGTAAGGTAAGGTAAGGTAAGGTAAGGTAAGGTAAAGCAAGGTAGGGGAAGGGCAGGGAAGGTAAGAAAGAAAGGTTGGGCAAAGTAAGTTAGGGTTAACTAAGGTGAAGTCAGGCGATGTACGGTAAGGCACCGTAAGTCAGGTCAGGTGGAGTCAGGTCAGGTCAGGTCAAGTAAGGTAAAGGCGCTGGGTGGCTTGTGCCCGTACAGGAGGTAAGAAAACTGGGACCTCCGCGCGTCGTGTAATGATGCAGGGCCCCGCTTGTCAGCGAGGGCCTGCCTGCCTGGAGCGGCGAAGCCTTCTCGGCCTGGCCGCAGAGGCGTCGGCGGAGGGACACCCCGAGCTCGCAAGAGCCAGGCGCATGGAAAAGATGGAGGCAGGGCCGCAGGCCCTCTCGGAGCGCACCCCCTCCCGAGACCCATGCGAGACGGGAACGGAAAACTCACATCACTGGGTCTCCACTCGCTGCTCGACTCCTCGCAGCGCGGGCAAGTAGGTTTGAGAGGGTAGGTCGTAGGTCCTTCTTCGCGCTGACTACCTACCAGACCACCCCAACCCAACCCGAAGACCCCAATTTCGGGTTGGGGGGGTACGAGTTCCACGTGTGTTTTTTCAGTGTTCCCCTACCCCCCCGCACTGGAAATCGAGGGTAAATCTGAGCCTTCGGGTTGGGTTGGGGTGGTTTGGTGGGTGGTGACGCGCTGCTGCCCATGCCCACCGGCGGCACGGGCGGGCACCGGGCGACACCTCGGCGGGACCACCCCGGGCACGGGGCGCCCACGAGAGTGCCGATGGGGCGCCCAGCGGCGGACACCCCGGGCGACACCTCGGCGGACCCGCCGCATCACCGGGGACGCCGAAGTCAGAACCCCTGGGTGCCAGCACTGCCTGCCCAGACCCCCGACGTCATGATTTTTTCATTACGTCGACCCCCAGAGATCTGGACCCTTTCCCCATGACCGGCTCTGCATCCTGAGTCGCTTTTTGACGGGCCCGAGGGCCGGCGAGGGCCCCCGGAGGCCGAAAATTAGGAAAAACCTCCCGTCATGATTTTTTCGTTACCCGAGGGGGTCTGGGATCGGGGAGCGAAGCGGAGCACTCCACGACGGAGGCGACGATCGGGGGCGGGCGGGCCCGCACCAGCGCCAGGCCAGGCCATCCAGGGCCTGGTCGTGAGCCTGGGCTGGCCACGCAGCAGCCCCCCGGGCCCAGGTCCGCGCACGGAAAGTGAGCTGGGTCGGCCCCACGACGTGGCTCCCAGACCCGCGCCGGCAAGCGAGGATCAGAGGGATCTGGCCGATCCCCCAGGGGCTGACCCCCTTTCTTCCTGCGCCCCGCGAGCCCGACCAGCACTTTCTGACGGCTCCGGGACCCCGAAAAACTGATCGTTGGGCCGGCGGCGACAGCAACGGAGGGGCAAAAAGAGAGGAGGAAGTGGCCGCGGAAGGACCAGGTCTTCAAGCGCGGCCGGAGGTTTGAGCACAACCGCAAACTGCATGTCTAGAGCATGCTAAACGTGTCAGATAGCAAGGTCACTCCATTCGCATTGGGATGGAGGCCTTTACATATCTTAAACCATGGGCCTGCAGGGGCTTTCGACGACGGGGGGAGGCCTCTGGCGTAGAGAGTTCACACCACGCGGAGTGCGCCGGCGGCCTCGGGCACCAGAAACCAGTGCGCTGGGAGGTGGGTGCGCGTGGAATGTGTTTGGAATTCCTGCTGTATTGGGAGGGCACGGAAAACAGCCTCTTCAGACACAAACGCCGTAGACTGGAAGCCCACGATGATGATGCTGTTGTTGATGATGATGATGATGAGGAGGAGGAGGAGGATGGCGATGAGAATGATGATGAAGATGCCGGTGTTGATGATGATGATGATGATGATGATGATGGTGATGATGCTGCTGATGATGATGACGATGGTGTTGATGATGCTGATGCTGATGACGCTAATGATGATGAGGAGGGTGATGACGAGGGTGATGGTGATGGTGATGGTGGTGGTGATGATGGTGATGATGATGATGATGGTGATGATGGTGATTAAGATGGTTATGAAGGTAGTGGTAATGATGATGATGATGATGATGATGATGATGATGATGATGATGATGATGATGATGATGATGGTGACGTTGGTGATGATGATGATGATGGGGATGGGGATGACGATGATATGGTGATGGTGGTGCTGAGTTTGGCGGTGATGATGATAATGATGATGGTGACGATGGCGATAACGATGATGATGATGATGATGATGATGATGATGATGATGATGATGATGGTGCGTATGACTATGATGATGTGATGCAAATGATAATGATGACGTTGATGATGATGACGGTGATGATGATGCCGATGATGGTGATGATGATGATTGCGATGGTGATGATGATACTGATGCCATGGTGTCGATGGTGATTATGATGGTGATTGTGGTGATAAGGACGATTACGATGATGATGATGATGATGCTGATGATGATGATGATGATGATGATGATGGTGATGCTGGTGGTGGTGATGATGGTGAAGTTGATGATGCTGGTTGTGATGCTGGCGGTGATAGTGACGATGCTGATACTGATGATGCTGATGCTGATGATGCTGAGGGGGGCGTTGATGATGATAATGACGATGAGCATGATCGTGAAGATGGTGGTAATGATGATACGGATGATGATGACGATGCTGATGGTTATGGTCATGATGATGGTGGAGATGATGATGGCGATGCTGACGATGCTTGTTCAAGGCTTTGCGCACTCTGCACTTGCGACTGTGGCATCGGGCTGGCCCCGCGCTGTGGCGAAGCCCACGATGATGATGCTGTTGATGATGATGATGATGATGATGATGAGGAGGAGGATGGCGATGAGAATGATGATGAAGATGCCGGTGTTGATGATGATGATGATGATGATGATGATGGTGATGATGCTGCTGATGATGATGACGATGGTGTTGATGATGCTGATGCTGATGACGCTAATGATGATGAGGAGGGTGATGACGAGGGTGATGGTGATGGTGATGGTGGTGGTGATGATGGTGATGATGATGATGATGATGGTGATGATGGT